CTCTACACAGCAGTCAATAAGCTTGATCACTCACATCGTCGTCTCCTGCTTTTTTTTTTTCTTCTCGTGGGTCGGTCGACTAGGCCTTAGCTTAGCTAGTAGTAGCTTCCAGGTGTTTCACCGTGCTCGCGCCACTCACACAGTTTACACCACTGACGACCAAGTTAATTACTCTGAATATTTTTACCACTCAAGAGTAGAAGACTACGGTGGTCTCTTCGTTTTTTACTGATTCCAAAAGTTTTCCTGCTGTGTGACACAAGCAGACACTCATGACTATATATGTATTCTAATTAGGACTCCTGTGTTAAGCACTAGTACTGCAGAATTCTCTTGTTAGTTCGGCACAGTCTTCGCATGCACCGTACATATATAACCACGGCTCGACCGACCCTTCTCTCTTTTTTCGATTGACCTGTCGTTGCATGGACGACGACGAGCCAGCAGTTAGCAGCCTGCTAGCAACTAGCTTGACGTCCGTGCTCTGGCATGGCATGGCGTGGCATGCCTTCACGACTGACGACGACGGTGGTTTGATTCTGACTCTGACATGCACATGACCTGACTGCCCTGGTGCAGGCGACAAGTCGCAGATCCGGAAGCGGTACATGCACCTGACGGAGGAGTACCTGGCGGAGAACCCCAACATGTGCGCGTACATGGCGCCGTCGCTGGACGCGCGCCAGGACATCGTGGTAGTGGAGGTCCCCAAGCTGGGGAAGGCCGCGGCGCAGAAGGCGATCAAGGAGTGGGGGCAGCCGAAATCCAAGATCACGCACCTGGTCTTCTGCACCACGTCCGGGGTCGACATGCCGGGCGCCGACTACCAGCTGACCAAGATGCTGGGCCTGCGGCCCTCGGTGAACCGCCTGATGATGTACCAGCAGGGGTGCTTCGCGGGCGGCACGGTGCTGCGCGTGGCCAAGGACCTCGCGGAGAACAACCGCGGCGCGCGGGTTCTGGTGGTGTGCTCCGAGATCACGGCCGTCACGTTCCGGGGCCCCTCCGAGTCCCACCTCGACTCCATGGTCGGGCAGGCGCTGTTCGGCGACGGCGCAGCGGCGGTCATCGTGGGCGCCGACCCCGACGAGCGCGTGGAGCGCCCGCTGTTCGAGCTCGTGTCGGCGGCGCAGACCATCCTGCCGGACTCCGAGGGCGCCATCGACGGCCACCTCCGCGAGGTCGGGCTCACGTTCCACCTGCTCAAGGACGTTCCGGGGCTCATCTCCAAGAACATCGAGCGCGCGCTGGAGGAGGCGTTCAAGCCGCTGGGGATCAGCGACTGGAACTCCATCTTCTGGGTGGCGCACCCGGGTGGCCCCGCCATCCTGGACCAGGTGGAGGCCAAGGTCGGCCTGGACAAGGAGCGGATGCGCGCGACGCGCCACGTCCTCTCCGAGTACGGCAACATGTCCAGCGCCTGCGTGCTCTTCATCCTCGACGAGATGCGCAAGCGCTCCGCCGAGGATGGGCAGGCCACCACGGGGGAGGGGTTCGACTGGGGCGTCCTCTTCGGCTTCGGCCCCGGGCTCACCGTCGAGACCGTGGTGCTCCACAGCGTCCCCATCACCACCGGAGCGGCCATCACCGCCTGAAATGATCCTCCATCAGTCGTCGTTCGTGATTATTTTCCTCCGACGGACCCGTCCGTTCGTCCGCAACAATAAACGTAGTTGATGATAGCAAGAAAGAGATCAGCTGCAATTTCAGAATACCTTAGGAAAGTGGAGCTCAAGTGTGAAGTAGTTGATGATAGCGTTCTCAAAGTTTTTAAGTTCCTGCCTACATATAACATATGTATGCTAACTGGCAATGCTCCCTGTACATCTATATTTCTAACATTATTTACCATCACATTCATTTGTGTGAAAGAAAGTATGCTCTAAGTTTGTTAGAAAATTTTATGAATGACAGGACCTAGGATGCCAAGTTACAGATAAATTTGAACTTTGTGTTGTATGGACATTTTGTTCACAGATAGCACCAATGGATCTAAATATTGAATTGCATGATACATGCAGTAAGACAGTATGCTGATACCTAGAGTAGTTCTGAATGTTTGATTTGTTGATTAGTTTGGTATGGACACAAACGACTGAAATGGGATGCTCTGGCTACATTTTCAGTTGTTGATTAGTTTTTGAATGATATCACAAATATCTACATGTTTATTATTCTAAGCAGACTTATGAGCTTCAATTATCTTTCTTTTTCTAGGGAATTTGTACATAACTTCTTTATCACTTATGTATCAGGAGTCTTTTCTTTTCTTTTCCTTTTGTTTTTTATTTCCGATTTTCTTTGCTCTGTGACTCTGCAGTTGCTTTTGACACTAATCTGACCTCAATCTCATGTGTAGAAGTGTTTATTCCCCAGCGTTTTGATTTAACTTTTCTTTTTCAAGGGATGCACATTTATGAAAATAACACATGTGCTGTTACTTTTGCTCCATTGCGTTGCATCAGAACAAAACATTAAAAAAATTAACGGTCCCTTCTTTTGAAAGTTAGAACTCTGATGTGTTGAGAAAACCTTTCATTTCTGAAGAAGAGTATATCACTCATGTGTCTCCTTTATTGTGGAAAATGTAGAATAGTCACCATAATAAACAAATGTAATCCCAGTTGCTATGGACATTAATTGTACTGCCACCTAAGCGTTTTGCTGATGTGACAAGATAGTTGTTGAAGAGGGAGAGCAAAAATCATAGAAACCGAGTCTAAGTTAAAAATCATGTCTACACGAGAACCAAGACACGAAGGGATGTGATTGGTAGAGAATGAAGAAAGAATGTACGTGATTGGATAAAAAATTGTTCTGTAAAAACTATTAATTGGAACCATAGTTTGTATGTATAGTGTCTACAGAAATTAAAAGATATAGAAACTACGTGCAGTAACATTGGGACTGCCCTTATAACCTTGTTATTAGGCACTAACAGTGTACACTTCGTAGCAGCCAGGGCATACAGTCCAGTATAGAATCACTTCTCTTTGTCTTGCAGGTTTTCTACTTGCTGGCCCAGATATTCTTTATTAGAAAAATAAGAAACCGCTGCAAATTCATCGAGTAAGTTCTGGGAAAGAAACACGTGTAGCTGTCACTAAATTCGTACCAGGAGTCCAGGGGGTCACAAAGAGGCCTGCGACCTATTTACATAGGCCTGCGACCCATAAGCCCACCCTGAGTACAGGTGTATGTTCACAGCCACTAAACTTTCAAATTCTCCAAGAAAACAACACTTTTGATCAAATCCTGATAACATTCACCAGTCAGATCCATGCAAAACGGCAAGCATCCAACAGAATTAGTGAGTTCAAGCATAAATAGACATGATTCTATATCATAGAACATCTGAGGCAGTACATCACTCTGTTTCTTACAAGAAACAGAGAATTCACTAGTTCTCACTAAATGAGAGTTTTGCACCTACATTTCCCCCTCCCGAGTCAATCAGCCCTACTAAACATATTTATACAGGCCAAAGGAAAGTAAACAAGAAGATATCGACACGACCCATGGCGTCAGGTCTATGGCTCCACCATGCCTGCAGGTCAAATGAATAACAGTTAGAGTAATAACCACATAAAAAAGGTTTGCATGAATATGTTGACAACAAAAGTGGGTTGCTTACTTGTTATTTTCTTTTATATCAGCCTCAAGCTCCTTAAGTAAACGAGAGTGTTCATCCAAGCCTTCAGAAATCTTATCGACCTTCATCAATAGTCGTTTATAAATGTTTTCCGGATAAATGTTTTCCGTCTTCTCATAAACGTGACTTTTCTGTTCCATGGTGCCTTTCAAAGGCTTATTCGAGGAGGGGGAACACTTGTGTCTCTGCAGGAGCATGATGAATGGATTTGTTACAAAAAAAATTGTGTGCATGAATAACCACATTTTGCAATGCATATTAAGCCTCCCTCTCTCTGCCCCCGGTTTCAGAATACAAAAGTCTGATTAAGTTTCATATATAGGAGCACCAGTAACGTTCATCCCTTCACACCCATCTAAGCACTTGCACTAGCAATTCGCATAGCAATTCGCCCTAGCAATTATGGCCCAATCTTTTCTGCTATAGATGGACTCGCCCTAGCAATTCGCATAGCAGGCCGAGGCGACGAGTCGTGATACAGGTGGAGACCCAGTACTTCCTGTCCCTGGATGCGCTAGGCCTGTCCGTCTGTGTCTCTCCAGTCTCTGGTCATCGCTCACCTTTCAACGGTCAGTCTCGAACTCTCACAGAGCTGCCCCTTGCCTACCCGATCCCTCTCTGCGTGCGTGCGCTGTGCCCCTCGGTGTGTGGCTGCGCTGCTGGAGTGCGACCAGCCAGTGTGCCACTTTTGGCAGAGGCATATGCCGTCAGAAACTCAGTCCAGCCGTGTGGCTGCGGTACGCGTGCAACACGAACCACACGGAGCAGCAGCAGCCAACTCGCAGGCCTCTATATATTTCAATTCAACTTTGAATCATTTGCACGAATTTGATCGAGTTACATAACTGTATTTGCACTGCATCATGTAGACTCAAGATTTGTACTAGAACTACAAAAAGAAGATTTTATTTGCATAATTATATTTGCATTGACCGAAAAAATATATTTTGCAGACTGCATCCCTTTTTTTTAAAAAAAGTCTATCTTGTATTGGTAGGTTCAAGTTCACCTTGTTGTTGTTCATAAAAAAACTATCATAGGTGAAACTAAAACAGTTTGTTATTACCTACTGGTAATTTCACCATGATATTTTGTGTACAATAATTAAGCATGAGTTCGTCATTAAAAATTAAAAATTATAAGCATAAAAATTGAGATATCATCTAAATTATTTATTTTACGGTTTAGTTTTGCCATTATCCATGCATGACATATTGTGAATGGTATGAACGGTTAGACAACAGCCCTAGCCGAACAAATTAACCAGCAAACCCACTGTCGGCAAAAAAGAAGCCCGCGTCGCCGGTTCCCCCCCGGCGCGCCCTCCGTGCTCCCGATCTGGGACGCCATGGCGCCCGGGCCCTCCATCGCGCCCGCGCCCACGCCGGGGCCAGGCTCCGGGAAGCACCACTTCGACGGGCACAGCCAGGTCAAGGACTTCATCCAGACGCTGCTCCTCTACGGTGGCTACAACGAGCTCGCCGACATCCTCGTCAACCTCACCTCCCTCGCCACCGAGATGGACCGCCTCGTCTCTGAGGGCTACGTCCTCACCGTGCTCGCCCCCAATGACGAGGCCATGACGCGCGCGCGGTCGCGGGCGAGCGACCCGCCCTCGCCGCAAGGCGCGGGCACGGGTTCTCGGCCGCTGCTGCCGTGGGAAGCCGGCGCCGCACCGCCGTGTCAGCGTTGTGCCAGTCGATCTCCTCCTCGGAGGGGCGCACTGCGTCCGCGAACTCGCGCGCGGCAGCCAGCGCCGATGTGAGCCATAGCAGCGAGGAGCAGTTCGTCACGGGGGAGGTGGTGATGGTGCCGTGGACGGTGGAGCGAGAGATGGAGGTTGCCGGTGGCGGTGAAACTAAAACAGTTTGTTATTACCTACTGGTAACTTCACCATGATATTTTGTGTACAATATTTAAGCATGAGTTCGTCATTAAAAATTAAAAATTAAAAATTATAAGCATAAAAATTGAGATATCATCTAAATTATTTATTTTACGGTTTAGTTTTGCCATTATCCATGCATGACATATTGTGAATGGTATGAACGGTTAGACAACAGCCCGTACAAATTAACCAGCAAACCCACTGTCGGCAAACCCAATCCTAACCCTAGAAGTAACACACCGGGGCTGCAGCCGGGGCTGCAGCCAAAGAGAAACAATCTGAGGTGCAGTTAAATTCGACCAAAGAACTTTGACAATCAGTCAAATCAAATTCTAGCAAACCCCAAAAACAACCAACTTTTCTTAAATCTAAGACAGCAGGTGGACAATTAAGGTGATTGGGTCCAACAAAATTAGCATGGTGTTAGCACCCAAGGTGCCGAAGCTAACAGAATACAGGAAGAACAGATTCGGAAGTAAGCTACTAGGAATGATTAAAACTGAAATTGAGTTTTTACATCTCTGTTCCTCCTTCTCTCTCAATCCTCTTACTACTTATACATCGTATCCTAGTTCATCAAAGATGGGCCGGTCACCCGCGAGCTGGGCTTCATGATTCTCTTGGGCCTGACTGGAAGTGGGCCGGAAGGCGAGCTTGAAGTGCTGTCATCTTGATCAGGTGCCACCAGCCGCAGGCGGTGACATTCCCGGGTCTTGAGCCAGCATGTCCCAGAGCCAGCAAGACGCTGTGAAATCTTTGGCGCAAGGTGACCAGCTGCTCCCAGGTAGCCAACTCCGGTGGGGTATGGGACCACTGAATGAGACCTTGCTCCATGGGATGATCTCCCGAAGTCCAGCGACGCTGAAGAACACGCAGTGGCACTTGGAAGGTTTGCAAGTCAGAAGGCAAGGCAGAAGATACCTGTTGAGTTCCAGGCGACAGCTTCAGCTGGGACACATGAAACACCGGGTGTTTTGAGGAGGATGGTGGTAACTCCAATTTGTAGGCTACTGAACCAATCTTCTCGAGAATGTTGAAAGGCCCAAAGAAATAAAATGACAGCTTGTGGTTTGATCTGCGGAACAGAGAAGATTGGACATATGGCTGGAGCTTCAAGAACACTTTGTCACCGACTGAGAACACCCGCTCTGATCGACCCTTGTCAGCTTGACGCTTCATGTGTTCCTGAGCACGCAGCAAGTGCTGCTGGATAAGTTCCTGCATAAGCCTGCGACCAGCCAGCCAAGATGCCAGATCTGGAATAGGAGCCACCGATTCCACATCCAATCCCATGTGTCGAGGTGGAACTCCATACAGGACCTCAAAGGGGGACTTGCCCAATGCAGAATGGAATGATGTATTATACCAATACTCCGCAAGGGACAGCCACGTTGCCACTGTGAAGGGCAAGAATGAGCAAAACAGCGGAGGAAGGTTTCGAGGCATTGATTTACCCGTTTGGTTTGGCCATCGGTCTGTGGGTGATAAGATGAGCTTAGGCGGAGAGAAGTACCAGCTGCCTTAAATAGAGCCTGCCAAAACTGACTGGTGAAAATTTTGTCGCGATCAGAGATGATAGAAGTGGGCAGACCATGTAGGCGATAAACATTGTCAAGGAACAACTGAGCCACCGTCTTGGCCGTGAAGGGGTGCTTCAAGGCGATGAAATGAGCGAATTTAGAAAACTTGTCAACAACGACTAAGATTGCATTGGCAGCTCCTGATGATGGAAGGCCCTCAACAAAATCCATGGAAATGATCTCCCAAGAGGTCTGAGGAACCAGCAGAGGCTGCAGCAGTCCTGGGTAACGAGCACGGTCCGGTTTAGCCTGCAAGCAAACTGAACAGGACTGCACCAGGTGCCAGACATCGGCTTTCATGCCCTTCTAGAAGAAGAGACGCTTCAGTCTGGAGTAGGTAGCTGGTGCACCGGAATGACCCCCCATCGGACTAGCATGAAAGGCTATCAAGACTTGCTGTTGGATAGCTTTACTGGATCCCAGCCAAATACGCCCCTTGTAGCGAATCACACCTTGAACCAGAGAGTATGGTGGAACAGACTCCGGGTTGATAGCCAATTGAGACAACAGCTTGGTAGCCTCCACATCAGCTTGATAGCTAAGCACCACTGCCTCTAACCACTGATGGGTGATAGAAGATATAGCCATGAGTTGCTCGAGATGGCGACGCCGAGACAAGGCATCAGCAGCCCCATTCTCAGTGCCCTTCTTGTAGATGATCTTGTACTGGAGGCCCATGAGGCGAGCAAACACCTTCTGCTACCATGCGGTATGAAGGCGTTGATCATTGAGGTGTGTTAAACTTTGATGATTGGTGTGAATATAAAACTCGGCCTGGAGTAGGTAATGGCGCCACTGATCCACTGCCAACAAGATTGCCAAATATTCCTTCTCATAGACAGTGAGGCCTTGATTCCTCTTGCTAAGTGGTTTGCTAATGAAGGCAATTGGATGACCCTCCTGCTGTAGCATAGCTCCAATTCTAGAACCCGAAGCATCAGTCTCGATGTGGAAAGGCTTGTTAAAATCTGGAAGAGCTAATACTGGTGCTGAACATAGAGCAGCTTTGAGCAGATCAAAAGCTTCAGCATGAGCAGGAGTCCACACAAAGATTTTATCCTTCTTGAGCAATTCAGTGAGGGGCTTAGCAAGAATACCGAAATGTTTGACGAATTTGCGGTAATAGCCTGCCAGGCCGAGAAATCCACGGAGCTCCCTGATGTTGGAGGGTACTGGCCAATCAACAACAGCGCGGATCTTCGCAGGATCAGTAGACAAGCCAGCTGCACTAATCACGTGGCCGAGGTAAGAGATGGACTGACGAGCAAAGTTGCATTTGGATTGTTTGAGCTTCCACTGGTCACGGCGTAGCCAGTCAAAGACTTGTTGCAGATGGAATATATGAGCCTCAAAGGAAGGACTAAACACTAGTATGTCATCAAAAAAGACAATGACGAACTTGCGTAGTCCTGGAGCAAGGGTAGCGTTCATGGCGCCCTGGAATGTTCCTGGTGCTCCTGTGAGTCCAAAGGCCATCACTCAGAACTCGTACTGGCCTAGGTGGGTTTGGAAGGCCGTTTTAAACTCTTCTCCTTCACGCAACAGAATCTGATGGAAGCTAGCCCGAAGGTCTAGGGTAGAAAACCAGCGGGCATTGGCAAGTTCATCCATCAGTTGGTCGAAGACCGGGACAGGAAACTTGGACTTCAAGGTCAAAGCATTGGGGTGACGAAAATCCACACAAAAGAGATAGCCACCATCCTTTTTACGGACCAGGAGCACCGAAGAAGAAAAGGAGCTATGGCTGTGCCGAATCAACCCTTGTGATAACATTTCTTGGACTTGTTTCTCAATCTCGTCCTTAAGCTTGGGTGGGTACTGATACGGTCTCACCATGACAGGAGCTGCTCCAGAAATCAGAGGAATTTCATGATCACAGGCTCGGGAAGGTGGCAAGGAAGTGGGTGGCTCGAACAAATCCAAATAAGTATCCAACAACGACTGTATCTCAACCGGCAACGGCTGCAAATCCTATTTAGCGCTCTCAGCAGCATCTAGGGAAGCAATGTGGAGCAATAGTTACTGAGGAAATGCAGTTGGAAGCCCCTGCAACACAGTGATCTGCCCCTTGTATGGTAGCGCCATCCACTTTTCCTGCCAATGAATCTGCATGGGACTGTGAGCTGCTAACCAATCCATACCAATCACACATCAAAGGTACCCAGTGGTAACACCCTAAAATCAGACTGAAACGAGCAAGCACCCACTGACCAAGGCACTTGAAGTAGAACTGTTGAGGTGGTGAGCTGAGTTCCACCAGCGACCAATACAGAGCTACAGACTAGGACTGAAACCACACCGGACAAGCGAGGAACCAATGCTTGATTCACAAAGGATGAGGAGCTGCCTGAGTCGACCATGATCTGCACTGGAATTGACTGTAAGAAGCCAGCTAAGCAAATCTAGCGAGCAGCTATCACACCGGAAAGGGCAGACTTGGAGAGGGCTAAGCAACACTGCTCCGAAGGTGGAAATTCCTCAACAGAGTCAGCCAACGAATCTTTTGAAGAAAATGACTCCTAGAGAGCATCGACTGCATGCAGGACCTCTGGAGCAGAAACATGGTCCTTACTCCACTTGGCGTTGCATTTGAAACAAAGTCCCAGAGCCCACCGATACGCCTTGACAGCTGCCATAGCTTGAGTGGTGGTCTGAACATTCGCCCCAACCGGAGCAGCAGCAACTGGGGCCACCGCCTTGTCAGCCCGTGGTGGAGGCGGGGGCAGCGGCAGAGGAGATGCTGCAGCCGCTGGTAGTCTAGGCTGAATAGCAGTCGACCAATCACCTCCACGCTGGACTCGCAGATTAGGAGCCGTGGCCACCTCTTCCTATAGTAAAGCGAGACAAACAGCAACATTGAAAGTTTAGGGACGCTGAACAAGAATAACTGCTCGAATGTTGGAGCGAAGTCCATCAATGAAACGCTGAGTATAGAATAGTGGGTCGGCATGAGGCGAATAGGAAATAAGCTGATCAACTAATTGAGAAAATGCAGTGACATAAGCTGAGACCGAAGTATGCTGATGGATACTGAACATTTGACGCAGGAGATGCTCATGCTGATCACGATCGAATCGTTCGTGAAGCATTTGACAGAAGGATTCCCAAGTGGCCAAGGGAAGCTGGGGAGCGATAGATTGATACCAAATCGTTGTTGGACCCTCCATGTAGTGTTCAACTAAACTAATCCAGATAGAGGGATCTACAACATAGGTGAGGAAATACTTTTCACCGAGGGAACTCCAACGTTTCGGATTGATCCCATCGAACGTTGGAAACGGAAGTTTCAGAAGCTGG